GAGGGGTTTATAAATTCTAAAGCCTCTTCTTTATTGTACACAAAGACAGTAGAGTTGTGGCATTTGTGATTGTTTTTTACTCCACGCGTTAGCCACTTTTCGCAAATAACACAATAATAATAATTATCGTCTCCCCTTTCTGCTTTAATAAATCCCATGTCCATGTTGTTCCAAAACCATTTGTTATTACTAAAACGTACATTCATCTTTTTTGTTTTATTGTTCTTATTTTTTTAATTTATTTTCAATTTTTATTGTTGTTATTGTTATTATTGTATTTATTTATTATTTATTATTTATTTATTATTTTTTATTGTTATTATTGTTATTTAGTTATTATTTTATGTTTGTTATTTTTATTGTTATTATTAAAATAATAACAATAAAACAATAATATTATTGTTATTATTTTATTATTTTATTATTTTATTATTTTATTATTTTATTATTTTATTATTTTATTATTTTATTATTTTATTATTTTATTATTTTATTATTTTATTATTAGTATATATATATATATATTAGTATTTATAATAATATTAAAATTAAACAAACAAACAAACAAACAAACAAACAAACAAACAAAATTTATTATGTTTATAACGGACGTTTATATCTATTTTGATATAAATCAATATTATTTATTATTATTATTATTATATTTATACATTTTCAATAACTATAATATTATATAAAAGTATTATTTTAAAATTTACTATAAATTTTAACAGATAATAAAATTCATTTTGTTTATAACGGACGTTTATAATCTCATATGAGTTTTGTTTTTTCATGTTAATTTATAGTAATTTTTAATTGTAAATTTATAATAAAATATTGGTTTTTTTAAATAATGTTAAAAATAACACAAATGTTTTAATAAAAACCCAAAATAGGTTTTAAAGATTTTTCTGAATTACATTTTGAGTAACTAACAAAACAAAAAACAAAAAATTGGTATTTTTTCGCTTAATTTGCCGCAAGTTATGGACTTTCTATGTAAAAAATAAAATGAAATTCTATTTGCCGGACTATGTATGGTTGAAAAATTACTATTATTGTAAACAGCTAGGTGTAATTATATTTTGGTTGATATTTATTTAATTACTACGTGAATCGCTTTTCTTATTTTGCCATTCATGATGGACAATGAACATTTTCACAAACACAAACAAAAAATAACAAAAAAAAACAAATGATGGTTTACCTATTAAATAATTAATGAGCACAGTTTTGTTTTTCTTATTTTCGAAAATAAAACACCCCAAAATAGAGATTGTGTGTTTTCAATTTTAATTATATGAGCACAACACCTTTTTAATAATAACTTAGTTATTTAAATTTTAACAATTGCACCTTTGTTCAATGTTTTGGGAAGCAAAAATGTGCGGATTTCACATTTTATATATCTATTAATAATTCACACCCTTAAAAAGTTTTTTCCTAATTTGAGATACAATGGTTTTAATAATGCATTTTACTCCAATTTATACCAATTTTTACAATTTATAAAAGATACGTCGAAAAATGACTTGTTTATTTGGTACTGGTTTTCGTTCAATTCAAATAATGAAAAATGCCAATTGAATACAGTGTCCAATTTTAATCATGATATAATAAAAATAAAAATGTTTAAAAGTATAATCATTTGGTTGTTGCAAGTTTTTCGGCATGGTTTATTATAGCCTTAATTTTTCAATAATACACACCAAATCTGGTAAAAACAATAACAAAGATTGTTTATAAAAATATACACATATAGCCGGCGTTATTGCTTCATTTTAAGCTTAAGATTTCAAAGTTTTGATAAAAACGAAATAATCAATCAACCGTTAAACATTTTAATAATTGTTTATACCTTACAAAAGTTTGATAAGGGGATTGAAAAAACGATATTATGTAGTCTCACCAATCCCACAAAAATAGCTAACCACACTTTAAAGTTGAATAGCGCTAATTATTTAACTCAGATAACATCCCTCAAAGTAAAGAACTATTTTAATTTTTTCTTTAACCATTCAGATCAATGAATTCTTTTATACTTTTTGATAATAATATCCAGAGCAGTATTTCCCAATTATTCGACCTATTAGATTCAAGTAAAATCAATTGTTTATAAAAAATATGCTGGCCATGTTAATTTGCTTTCTTTCTTTCGATAATTGTTGCTTAAAATAAATGAAATAACCTAAAACATATTCAAAACCACTGGTAACATGTGTTGTATATAAAGAGGTATAGAACAGTATATTCACAACAATGAGTGTAATTCTCAACAAAGAGTCAAAAAAGCAGACTGCATTTATTCAAGTAAGAAACACTGTTGTCCATCAACAAGTTGTACTCCTCTCATTGCTCAACTCCCAATTCTCTTTCCTTCTCAGACTCCCCAACAAGAAGTCTCTTGTCTATGACCAAAACTTTTCGATTGATTCTATCACTGATGCTTATGGCAACTCTTTTGACTTTAATTCCTTTGTACAAATACGTGTCGAACAACGCTTGTCAATAGAAAGAGGTGATGGAATTCCAGAGAAAACACTTTCAAGAAGAAGACAGAATTATATAATCGCCGAAAGAACTAAATTTCTTGTTGATTTATTGAGAGAAGCAGGCTATTTTATTAGTACTGTAGAGACCGGTGGAAAGAAAAACATGTTAAAAACAGAAATAGTCACACAAATCTTTTATAATGGTGTTCTGATGTTTGACAAAGACGCAATCAGGGAGTGTGGGAGAGTAGTGTCACACAACATTACAACACTCAAGACGATGTCTGGAAAGATTCAAATCCCCATCAATACCATCGCACTCAAAAGTTATTCATTGTAATTCGCATTGTTTTTTCATATTGTTTTTTACACGACCAACATGTCTAAAACTTGATTATTACTTGTTAATACTTTCAGTTTGTAATTTGAAACGCATTCAAAAACTTAATAGAACAATTCAATTTATTAAATTATTTACTAAACTATTATTGATGCAATTGTCTTTTAAATAAAATCGGACTTTAAAATGTTTTACACAATTATACAAACAGTTATAAGGGGTAACTATCATTTATTATAAATAAAGTTAATAACATTCAACATGAAAAAACTTTTGTAACGCTGTTAAACTGTGTTAAACATAAAACTACTTTTAAGAAAGCCAACAAAAATTAAATATCTTATCAATGATTTCATTTAATACGTTGGTGTCTTTGGTCTAAAAGAAAAAGATAACCAGAATAAAATACTAAAGTCATATCGAATCATTTCAACCATGAAATTCTTTATTGTTTATCAATAATTAATTAAACAATATAGTAATCATCAATCAATTTTTAAACTATTCGAAAATGTTCAAAAATAGTAAAAATCAATACGTCCAAAGAAACTTTAAAACTTGAATTATCATCTTATATTTTTATTATTATAAAAATATTTATAAAAACAGGATTATTAAAATACTTTTTACTTGGGATTTATCTGCATAATTTTGAACATTCATATAGATTTCATATGATAATTATAATTAATTTGGTATATACTGAACAAAAACTGTTTTGTATCTTTCTTCAACCAAGATTCTTACCCATTTATTGTAATGTGTTATTGATAGAGGCGGTTTACAACTTTATCTGCTCACAAACGTTATTTGGTATCTTTTGGACCAAATTAAGTAAATAATTGTGTAAACCATTTAAAATAATCTGTCTTATCGTTTCAGTTTTTTTCACCCTTCAATTATGTTAAACTTCCTATTTTATAGTTTATTTTAATATAAAATAAAACTACATTAAAATAGTTAAATATATTATATTTAATATATATTATTAATTAATAATTAATAATATTATAAAATAAATCAACATTAAAATAGTTAAATATATTCTACAGTTTATTAAAATTGACAAATTAATATATTTCTTTATTTTCATTTATTCTGTATTATTCAAATATAATAATAAATTTGTATTTAAATAATCTTGTATTTAATAAATTTAACTAATAATTCCATTACAAAGCTCTTAAGAGTAACACTGTCATACAAACAACTCAATCACTCGGCAGGATTTTCTGTTCCTTCAAAAACACCTCGACGTCCTTCATCATTTTTTCTGCCAACAAATATGACGTTTCAATGATGTTCTGAATCGACGAGTCGCTTTCCTTCATTCGATTCTTCGCAATCATAATCCCCTTTTTGCATAACGCCATGACTCTTCCCATAATCTCGTACAAATCCTCCACCTCGTTCGCTTTCGACGCCTTGATCTTCTCCACCGTCATAAATTTCGTCACCAACAATTCAAGTCCTCCATTCACTTTCGCATACAACACTCCATTTAACAACTTATGAATATTACTCACTCCAACATTATCGTTGTTTTCTATCTTATCTATCTCCGCATCAATCATCTGTATCTGCTTCTCTATATCACCACACGCTGTTTGTAATGGGGAAAGTGTCGCATTCGTGATCTCAACAACACTCTCTCGCTCCATCATTGACGGCAATGACCTCTTTGTCGTGATGATGACTTGGTCCTTCGACAATTCATCTCCTTTGACTATCGGTATCTCATTGACAAATGTCTTCTGCTTCGCTTCTTCCATTTTAGACCCCATCGGATTATAAAGAACCACACCAATCACAGTTATCACCGCATTCTTCGTTCTGTAGTCCTCGATGTTCTTGTCATACAAATTCTGACGCACTACCTCCGCTTGTACCTTCTTATACATATTCACCAGGTACTCAGCAAACTCCCCCAGCTTGAGTTGGGACCTATAAACGTACTCTCCCTTATATCGGGTCTCCACCTTCTCCACCGCTTTGATGATCGTGTTAAATTCATTGCCCTTACTCTCCATCAATGCAGGCGTCGTCGGCTTCGACTCCGGAAAGTCAAACGCGCTTCCTATAAACTTGACATAATAGAAGTATGTCGGAAACACAATCAACGTCCTCATCTCAACATAGAAGTCGTGGATCTTCTTGTGCTTCTCAGACAACAACTTGAACTCGTGGTTATTCGCCAAGAACGGGATGATGAAGTTGCAGACCGCTATCGCAAACCTCAGACTCTTCGATCGTTCAAACATCTCAATCGCATTGTTCACCTCTACCAGAAATTTGTCATACGTAATGTTATTCGCACTCTTCTCCTGGACCACCCCGACGCTGTCTACCAAGCATTCCTCATTGATCTCCTTCAAGTATTTCTCCTTCAAGAGGACTCCACTCGGCTCAACAAGTATTTTATAGATGTAATGCAGAATGTGGACTGCAGCAACTCCGGCTTCCATGTATTTCTTGCGCTCTTTCTGCTTCTGAAAAATCGTATCAAACCACAGAATATGAAAAGACGGCGTCTCAATACTCTTATTCGCAATACTCAAGTACTTCTCTAACACAATATCATCCGCCTCATTGCGCTCTTCCATACTTCGCAATTCTATCAGTTCCTGTAATATCGCATTGATCTTCTCATCTAATTTGTCAATCTGTTCCTTCAGCAAATTGCGTTCGTAGTCCCCACATATTTTCTGCAATACCTCCTCAATGTCTTCAATCTGTTTCTTAAACTTCTTCCCACCTTTCTCCATCTTCAGCACACGAACTTTTTTGATAAACACACTCAACACGTTTTTATGTAAGTTGCTGCGATATTTCAAGTTCTTCCGTTCGTTAAATTCATTCACTTTGTCAACAACAGTCTCCACCATCTCCGCATCAGAGTTCGTCACCGCCTCTCTCAAGTGGTCAAGTAAATTATTCCACACCATTTCGTCCTTCCTCATCTCACAATGTTGGCTATAAATCTCCTGCATCTCCTCCAGCTTTTGGGTGATGACATTCCTCCAGTTCTTCTCTTCTACAAACCGCCCATACAACTTCCCAAACGTCACTTCATCAACTTTCTTCTCCGCCATCACGTTCTTTATTATCAACATCATCTTCTCAACAGCTCCATACTGTTTGAATAAATCTGATGCTATTCCAATTTCATGTTGCATCTCGTCAATACACGTAATGGGGTATTCCGTCACTTCCATCGCCTCAACACACCACATCCCAACCCGGATGATTTGTTCCGGCTTCATTTGTTCCTCCTCCCCTCCCGTCCTCTCAACCTCCTCTAATTGAATTTGCACCTCCAAAATGCTATTGATGACATTCGTGATCTTCGGTAGCAGTTTCTCGTACTTATAAAAGATGTCATTCTCGTTGATGCGCGTCTTGTTCTTCTCTTTATCTCTCACTTCCTCAATCCGTTTCATAAACTCCTTCTCCGCATCTTGATACACACTCAAAAGAAATTGCGCTTCCCCAAGTAAATCAGTCGCCTCGTCACTCTCTCGTTTCTGCTCTTTACAATTCACTCGCACAACCTCCTCTTCCTCTCCCACAAAACTGTTGATTTGTTCAACAGTAACAGTCCCAAAACCACTCGTCGAGTAACTTTTCCGAAGCGCAAGTGCCTCTCGCATCAGCACTAACGGCTGTGTGAATTTCTCTAAACTCATCTTGATCGTCGGCTTCTCCTCTTTCATGCGTTTCAGTATCGCAACAAAGTCCTCGTTCGCCTTCTCGATCTCTTTAAACTGGTTCTGCAGCGTCTCAACGTTCGATTTCTCAGCCATCAAATTGTTCGTGAAATCTCGTGCATCAGATATCCACTCCGTCGCTTTAACAAGTGCCTCCCGTTGTAATAAGAAACAGTGGTCTTCTTGTTCGACACTTTTGGTCACCTTTTCTTTCAACAACGTCATTCGCGAATCATCACAGAGATTCCAGTGACTGCACAACTGTTCAAGTCCTTTTAAGACGCTTCTTGCTTCTTTATTGAGTGGTTCAACTTGCTCTATAACTTGTTGGAAAAATAACTCCCGTCGCTCTGCAACAGAGCTCTCCCACTGTTTCTTTTCAGACGTTTGGTCGACTTGCAGAGGAACCTTTTCACACGTCTCCATATCGCTTTGCGCGAGATCGCCGATGTCTTTGATCGTTTTAAAAATAGCGGCGTCGACGTTTTCAAGCTCCTTCGAGCACATCTTGAAGTGCAAGTTGAATATTGAAGATATGATGTGGGACTGTGTGTTCAGAACTGAGCTTTTATTGAAGACGTAGTCCTTTTTGATCAACGCGTAAAGCATAGAGACGCTCTTTTTCTGGAGTTCTGGTATCTCCTTGGTACACAATAAAATGAGTTTGTCGATGACAGTGGACAACACGTTAGTGTTTCCTTCAAATAACATTTCTGGCGTATCGCTGAGTTGTTTCTCAAGATATTCGAAGAACGTTTTTTGGTTTTGTTCGACTACCGCTGTTGTTCCATTCGTTTTCCCAACGACGTCCAAATACACAGGACACATTGGTTCTTCTCCCTTCGTGTTCAGTGTCTGTAGTGAAGTATTAGAACTCTCATATGAGACATCAGCGGTGTTCGCCTCACTTTCTTCCTTTTTAATCTTCCTCGTCTTTTCATTGTCAACACCTTCCGAGTGGAAATGTTCGCTTTCCGAACTCATTGCGTCGTCTTTTTTCTCTTCGACGACCGGCGGGAGTTCTTTGCCTGTTTCTTGACTTTCCATCGTCTTATGGAAAGTCAAGATTTTGAATTTTGCACGAAAGAGAGATTCCAAGATGGAGTCAATCACTTCATTGTTTTATACTATAAAATTTCTACCACTTTTCTTATTTCCATCAAAAATGTTATATATAACAAAATATACCCCCCTGTTAATTTACTTGAACTGTTCTCGGTACTTCCCAAGTCCGTTCTCTTCAAGCTTGTCTTTAGGAATGAATCTTAAGCTTGCCGAGTTAATGCAATACCTTAGTCCACCCATTTCTAGTGGCCCATCTTCAAAGACATGGCCGAGATGAGAGTCACCACTCGAACTTCTCACTTCGACTCGACGCATCCCATGTGACTCATCCGTCTTCTCATAGAGTGAAAGAGGGTGGATAGGCTTAGTGAAAGCAGGCCACCCACATCCCGAGTCGAATTTGTCTTTCGACGAGAAGAGGGGTTTCCCCGTCACGACGTCGACGTATATCCCGTCTTCAAAGGTATGGTCATACTCGTTAGTAAATGGAGGCTCCGTTCCACTTTCTTGCGTCACCTGATATTGTAGAGGTGTCAACTTACTCTTCAACGCACTCTTCTCCTTCTTCTCAAGAAACTTCGCTTTGTTCCGCTCAACTTGATTCTTCCTCCCCGACCCTTCATAATACCTTTCATAGTGATTATGATGGGTTTTGTAATAGTTCTGGTGATACTCCTCCGCTCTATAAAATGGCTTTGCTTGGACTAGTTGGACTTTAATGGGTCGATCGTATCTGCCACTCAATTGAAGTGCTTCTATGTACGTCTCAGCTTCTTTTCTCTGAGCTTCATCGGAGTAATAGATCGCCGTTTTGTACGACTCGCCTTTGTCCGCAAACTGCCCGTCACCATCGGTCGGGTCAATACTTAAGAAATAAATTTCAAGTAATTCTCGGTACGGCATTTGAGACTCATCATACACGATTTGGACCGCTTCACGGTGCCCAGTATTGCCAGTACAGACATCGTCATATGTGGGATTCACTGTAGTTCCTCCAGTATAACCAACTTCGACACTTTTGACACCAGGATACGTGTCAAAAGGCTTCACCATACACCAAAAGCATCCACCTGCAAAGATTGCTGTTTTGATCATTTGAATTTGTAAATTCCTTCGCAGATTGTTGTCAAATAATCTCCGTTGAGGTCTACTTTAGTTCTCTTTTTTGTCTAGAAACTGGTCTAA